GCCAGAAAGTCGTGTATGCCTAAGGTTGAAAATAAATGATGTTTATAGTGAATGCCCCTATAAATGGTCTTATTTTTACGATTTAGTTTTAATCCAAATGATGCGTGTGCTAAGTGAGTGAACATCAAAGATCACACAACAGAATTGCGCGCTCTCTCTCTCTCTCTCTCCCTACCGTTAAGTAACTTGTGCATTGTTTTACTTGCTTACGTATCCCGTATCCGACCGAACTACAAACTTTCCAGTGATGTCTGTGAGAAGGATATATTCACTCGAGCGCATCTGCCATCTGCGCCGCCGCGCGCTCAATCCACTCAGCGTGCTTTGTTTATCAGCTCGCGCACATCAGCTATCCAGGCGTTAATACTGAATGTTTAACATTATATTCATTGCATACATATACTTCGTAGTAGACATCCTTAACTCCTTTCTGCTGTCTGTTGTTCTGCTGTCGGTGTTTCTTTGTTTGAATATGGCACTTATCACATGCTGTGTGGTATCAGCGTTTGGTATCGGGGCATTTTAACGAGTACAGGAGACATATACATATATATACACACACACACACATATATATATAAGTGGTGTGCAGTGGTGTTCTGAAATGATGTGGGCAAAGTTTTTTTTTTTATATTAATATATTTTAAAATGGTATTTATTCCTGTGATGGCAAAGCTGAATTTTCAGCAGCCATTACTCCAGTCTTCAGTGTCCGAGTAATGGTTGCTGAAAATTCAGCTTTGCCATCACAGGAATAAATATCATTTTAAAATATAATGATAATATTAAAAAAATGCTATTTTGAATTGTAATACAATTCCAAAATAATACTGTTTTCACAGTATTTAAAAAAAAATAATTTGCAGCTTTGGTGAGCATAAGAGACTATGCTTTCAAAAACATTAAAAAAAAAAAAAAAGACCCCAAATTTTTGAATGGTAATGCATATAGATAAATATAAATGTAGATATGTACTTACAGGGAATTAAACCACAAAATATAAAATATAGACCCTCAATTATCTTTTTATATTTGTTTTACTCTGAGCTGTTTCTATGGAATCCTGTTTCCATTTCAAAGTGTTAAATAAACAAAAATAAAAAATACTGCCTTTATCGACACCTCACCTTCATATCCCCTTCTTCAACAACCAGCTGCCAGTTAGCATCTCCACCCACATCCTGCAAAGAGTAATTCATGTGGCTCTGCACCATCTCCTCAACCTGTGAACAAAACAAGTGTGAGGTGTTGTACACTAGAACAATCATATGCCTGCAGTCCATCCACACTAGTGTAGTGTCATAAATCTACCTGAGCACTGAACCTGTGCACGTCATCGGAGGCACTTATGAGGTCAACGGAGGATAAGGAGGAAGTTTGACTGCGAGGCTGAACCAAAGAGCCAGAGGGGAACAGGTCAAGGGAAAGAGAAGAAAATAAAAATCTCATAATAACCCAGAGAATACACAGCAGACTGCCACTGCAAATCACACTTCAGCAGGAGGGACTGGAAGAACAAAGGCTGTTTCACAAATGTAAAAGCTCCAAAGATTTCACAGAGCAGATCCACCATCAGCAATGACAGAATTGCATAATCAGTCACGAAGCAGCAAATGTGCTTTGACACTGTGAGTGTGTAGGAGTGTGTGCTTGTGTGGGTGAGTCAGAGTGGTCTGACTTACCTTAGTCAAGTATTTCTGAGTGCTGATGGAGGAACAGGTGTCTGGAGTGAGGGAGATCTGTCGAGATGCCCTGCTCCTTTCTGCCTGGGACTGCAAAACAAGACCGTAACATTTCTGTATGGACATATGCATAAAATACAAGTGAACTAGCTGGAAATATGCTGTGGATATAGTTCTTGACTAGTGTATTGTCTGTTGGATCCCAATGAACAATGAGCTCTGGGGCATGCATTATATTTCAGTCATTTGTTACTCCACAAAAGTGGGGCCTACATTCATTATCAGCTTTGGTTCCAAATAGTAGTCAGCTTATACAATCAACAAGGTTGAAATTTGCCCTTTTTATCATTGGCAGATAACATACTGATTTTAAAGTCAACCCAGACTTTAAAAAGTACCTAAATTAGCACCACATCAACCGCTAATAATGTTCAGTTTATGTTCTTTTCCGTTTAGTTATGTTGTCTGCACTTTAAATGCCCAAGCTTTTTAAAATCAGGTGGATTAGTGATGATCAACAGTCGTGATGATGCAATCAAACAGTCCATTTCATGGAAACCGAGCCAAATGGAATGGCTGCTCAGCGTATAACAAATCCAAATCACGTGTCAGAGTGCCAATACTTCAAACAGATGCCTTACAAATACAAATGCGTAAAACATCCAGCTTTGCAAAAGTGTTAATTTATTTGAAATAATAATGGCTGAATCATTACTTGCTCTTCGATCTGGTCATGTTTATCCAACGCAGCTTCCACAGCATCAAAGAACTCCTCTTCATTGATCAGACTGTTTGGTCCTTCCTGCACAGAGAGAATATCTCAGTCTGGAATGGAGGGTGTGTGTTGAACCAAAGATGGACAGGCCAGTGTGAATTATAGGATATGGACGCACTTCATAGTCTGGTCCTCCATAATGAGGCTTCTTCTTCAGCTCCGTCAATGCAGCTTTGTATGCGTCTTCTGCCCGTTTTCGCTTTTCGATTTCCTTATGGATGATAGAAGAATGTTACTCATAGTTTTACCATATCCGAAATACATCACAATGCACTCAAGAAAATATTAAATGGCTCATAACAATATATAATTAATAAATAACTTTTATAATAAATATTTTTCCCCCACACTCTTAATTTTTTTTCTTTATTTATTAAATGATAAAGTTTTCTGGTATTTGGAAATGAATAATAGCATCTATACTGCATTTGCCTTATCACCTCACTGTGACTAAGTGGACCAAGTTCCTCATCACCCTACAGACATGTAAACATACACAAGCATTCAAAATTTTGAGGATGGTACGATTTAAAAAAAAAAAGTGTTTCTAAAAGAACTCTTTTATACTCACCAAGGCTGCATTTATTGGATTTATTTTGATAATTAAAAATATAAAGTATTAAAAACACTAATACTGTTAGATAATATTAATAACTAATTTCTATTTTAATATATTTTTAAATGTAATCTATTTTTAAAAGCTGAATTTTCAGCAGCCATTACTCCAGTCTTCAGCATCACATGATCCTTCAGAAATCATTTGAATATACATTTCTATAAACCTTTTAGACTGAGAAAGACGTTTTGAATTCTGCAACTTGCTAGTTGCTGAACAAAAGCAAGTTTACGAACAAAGCAAGTTTACAAACAAATCCAAGAAATACCGGTTTAGGATCCAAATAGAGAATCTGGAGCAAAACAAACATGACATGACACAGGAGCTCTGACAGCTCCACCATGCTTCAGCTTAAGCAAACACACTCATTTCAATAGTCTATCTCACTACAGATGCCATTGTCATTCATCTAACAGAGGGTCGAGCCCATATCACCCACTCTCTAGACTTGCTTGAAGAGAAAACTAGCTTGAATAACTTTCAGAAAGCCAACCTTCAAATCACTCAAACTTTCTTTAAATAACTCAGCTGAAGCAGAATCTTCAGCCACATTAAACCTTCCCTGAAAAGCGGTTTCTCCGTTGGTTGATTGAGAAGCTTTGGGTGTTGTAGATGAGTAATTGGTGCATAATTTTCTTGCATTATAAGTTAGATCGGTTCTGGAACTGACAGGTGTGGTTTAGCTTAAAGCACTGAAACACCTCTCTCGGTCTGCAAGAAAAGACAATTACTCACAACACCCCCCTGGCTTATATGACAGGTGATAACGACTGTCAAAAAGTGGTAATGTGACTCCACTAAACCAGCACAATTAAACGGCAATGGCAGAGCTCAAGTGAAAATTCAAACACATACATTTACATAGCACATATGCATGACACAAACATGTCAAGACTCAATTTGACATTTAAAACAGGAAGCAGCAGCAAATAACCAGTGAACTGAACAAAAGCATGTCAAACCTACAGAGTAGAAGCTGCTGTGCGTACAGAGAGAAACCCAGTTTTCATTAGCACTCTGAAGAGACCCGGCCACCCAGCTCTGCCACGGCTTCAACGCTGAAGCCCTGTACACTGTAGTCATCCTCTACAATCCAGCTGCTAACATCACAACACACAATTCTAGAACTATAGTTTGAAGAAAGCTTTATTCTGCTCAAAGGTCCATCTAGTCCCGTTGAATAACTGTAAACACTGTAAAATCACACCCGTCCAGATTCTCTGTGGCGGCTGGGATTCAAGAAGCTGCTTCCTGGCTCATGATATACCCGGGGGCTGGACTTGAGATGGAAAAACTGGTCGGGCAAGTGCAAGCATAAGCTTTACACTAAGACACTAATGACGTGTGGCTTTGAAGATGTGCTCCCACATAAAGTGGAGTGGAATGTGAGGAATGCAAGGCTTCTGGAGACTACAGTAGATGCACTTTTGTTTTAATGGATGCGTCTTTGTGACTCATCTAATAATTAAGGCGTTATGTGGGAAGTGTATGAGTATGTAGATAGTGCCCAGATTAAGCCTGTGAAAAAATTGCAGAGCTGCTTGATGCTGAATACTTTATTTGCATCGAAATGCACTCAGTAGATTCAATACGGCAGAAAAGTGTTTGATAGTCCCAAAACTAACAATATTTCCTTTAAAACTGGAATGGGGTAGTAAAAGATAATTCTGTAATAATTTACTAATTCTAATGTTGTTCCAAACCCGTTTGACTTTTTCTTCTATATATGACAAAAGGAGATATTCTAAAGAATGTTCACGCTGTTCTTTTTCATAATGGACTAAATTGAGGTCCGTTACTTATACAAAGCTAAGGTAAGGCTTCAGAGGACTTGAAATATAACGTATTGACATCTTTTATGATGACTTTTTAGAACTTGACCATCTGTGGTTTATTTTTTTGTTTTTAAACACCGCAGTAATGAAAAACAACAATTGACAACCTACTCACATCAACATAATTATACATAAATATTCAATTCAATACAATTCAAGTTTATTTGTATAGCGCTTTTCACGATACAATCGTTGCAAAGCAACTTTACAGAAAATTACGTTTCTACACTATATTTAGTAGTAGCTTATCAGTGATGAAAATACATTTTCTTTTTAATGAAAAACAACAATTGACAACCTACTCACATCAACAATTATACATAAATATATAATATTTTTCTTTTTTTAAATTACATTTTTTTTATTATTGATGGAGAAACATTTTAAAAAACATCCATTAGAGCAGTGGTTCTCAACCTTTTTTGGGCCAGCGCTCCCCTACCCATTATTCAGGTACCTCACCACCCCCATCAAATAAAAATTCTTCTAAAAATCTTCAGACTATTGAAGTTGATTATTTTGTGTTTATAATGAGGACTGAAAAATTTTGTAAAAACAAAAAAAAAAAAAAAACTCTCTCTCTCTGTAATGGTATTACACCAACCATAACAGTTCAATTCAATACAATTCAAGTTTATTTGTATAGCGCTTTTCACGATACAATCGTTGCAAAGCAACTTTACAGAAAATTACGTTTCTACACTATATTTAGTAGTAGCTTATCAGTGATGAAAATACATTTTCTTTTTAATGAAAAACAACAATTGACAACCTACTCACATCAACAATTATACATAAATATATAATATTTTTCTTTTTTTAAATTACATTTTTTTTATTATTGATGGAGAAACATTTTAAAAAACATCCATTAGAGCAGTGGTTCTCAACCTTTTTTGGGCCAGCGCTCCCCTACCCATTATTCAGGTACCTCACCACCCCCATCAAATAAAAATTCTTCTAAAAATCTTCAGACTATTGAAGTTGATTATTTTGTGTTTATAATGAGGACTGGTATTATATTTAGAGTAGCATTAAAATGTATGGGGCCATTACTTTTTTTTTTTTTAAGAAATTACTTTAATTAAAGGATCCATTAAATTGATGAAAAAAATTTAATTACAGTGAAATACATTTTTAAAATAGATTACTTGAAAATAAGTGCAATAACAGTTATTTACAGAGTTAAGCATGTTGGTGATTTTCATTGCTAAATATTTGGTGATGTATTTGCCCCAAATTTAAAAAGACTTGATAAAAATTCCCGTTTAGAATATATCCACAGGGGCATTTTTACAGAAGAGATTTTAGTTTGTTCTTCCGTTCCTGGCAGAGTGAGCAGAGTGGAGCGGCGTGTTGTTTGACTGGAGTGAGGAGTGGATTTTTTTGAAAGTCGGAGCGTCGTTGTTTTGAGTCACTCTGAGAGAGCTCCACTACTGCTCTATCACGAGCACAATTAATGCCAACAGTCCATAATATAACTGCATTTTATCAAGAATTCACGCATTAAACATCATTAGCTAGTCTGACAGATATGTGGATCACTCAAATCAGAAAGAAGGTGAGGGTTATAATGATGGCGATGGAGGTTATATCTCAAGCATGTTTGTTTGTAGCATGTGGACAATCAAAACTGACTGGGTGAATTCACATTTTAAACAGTTTATTGTACAGGTAGCTAATCTCCACTCTAAACTAATGTGCTGCTACACTGCACGCACGCACACAAGCTTGCACATAACGTACAGATTGCGTGCACATAGAAACATCTAACGCTAATATAATGAGCATTAGAATGAATTTTGTTCATTTTATTCAAAATGATTTATTTAACTATTGAATGCTCCCATAACTTTTATTACTGTAGGTACCGTGACAACACTATTCAGGAGTGCAGAAAATTGTCAACACTGTCCTGCGATTTATCATTTATAAGCTTTCAATTAAAAAATAATACGCTAATATATATATATCTCTTAGTTTTTAGAAAATACCCTGTTTTTGAGAATATATTGAATTTCCTTTTTTTTCCTGACATAGTGGACATGGTCATTTTGGTCTTTAAATACAACATTTATACATGCAAATGGATGAAATGTAAACCCTCCTTTACTATATTTCATGATTTTGTGAGAATATTTCAAAGTTTGCTTACATATGCTTAAAAGAAAACCAAGTAATAAGATGGGAAACACATGCTCCTCATTTTCAAAACTATTTTAGTGCTGTCCTGATTCATATCTTCGTTAGTCCATTAAATTTAAAATCTTGCTTTTTTTGTCAGTGTGGTGTGCCAGCTATAATAATAAGAAATGTTTTTGAGCAGCAATCAGCATGATTTCTGAAGGATCATGTGACACTGAAAGCTGGAGTAATGGAGCTTTAGTATGAGAGGAAAACAGAAAGAAAGAAAAAAAGAAAAGAAAGCAGTTCTTTCAAATTGTAGATGTAGCCTACTGTTTGCCGTTTTTTTTTTTTTTGATCAAATAAATGCAACCTTACTGAGCAGAAGAGATTTCAAAACCATTAAAAAAATCTTACTGACCTTTTTTTCTGAATGGTAGTGTATATTATAGGCTATATTTTATTGTAATATGAACCTATTTTAAAAGCATGTATTTTAACCCAAATATTACAGCCCACAGTAGCCCATAAATAATTTTTAAAACATGTAATTGAATGCCACATGACATTCATGACATATTTGACTGGACTTTAAATACCATTATCATTAGTTTCCCAAGGAGCAAAAAAAGCCACGTGAATATAAATTAGGCTATATTTATGAGCTTGAATAAACTCTTGAAATTTGGCATTCAAACCAACCTCAGCCAAACAGCAAACAAAAAGCATTCACATAAATTGTTCTAAACAAGAAAAAGCATATTGTGCTTTAACATATCTAAATGTTTGCTATTGTTTTCAATGGAAGTTTGGCAGCTGCGCTACAGAAAGCTATGGAAATTATAGTTTAGAAGCGGTAGTATTGGTGTAAACTAGCGGCTTACCCTAACTAATACTACTACACCGGGCGCGAACGTCGCGACACGTTGCGTCAAAGCACACAGATCCTGATTATAATCAGTGGTTCAGTATCTGCGGCGCGAGCACTACATACACGGATGCCGCGTTCTCTGCCTGCCGCGCTCCACTCGCTTGCGCTACCGACAAGTTGACAAACGGATATATAAAGTGTGCTTTGATGCATCCAGTGTAGAGACTGCGTTAGGATGTGCCAGACCATTTTCTTTTGCAAGTCTCAGCTCATACATCTTTGGTGTAAACTCGCCTTAACCAAGCGCCCCCCTTTCAAAAATATTGCTTCCAGTGCCCCCCGATGAGAGAGTGAATGACCAGCGCTCTCTTCCACCTTCAATACCACGACTGAGGTGAGACCCTTGAGCAAGGCACCAAACCCCCAACTGCTCCGGGTGTGTGTGCGTTCACTACTCAATGCTGTGTGTGTGTACTTGGATAGGTTAAATGCAGAGCACAAATTCTGCCTTTATTAATTAACGCCGCCTTTCCACTGTCTCCAACATTTGGATACAACTGTCCAGATACAGAACTTTCAAACTGGCCGTGAAGCAACAGTGACCACCAGCTTATTCACCATGGTAAAATTAATGTCTGAATATATCTACACAAAATAAAATGACCCCCAAAATAAAAACAGTAGGTCTTATGGGGCTAATCAACATACATAATGATTTAATAATTAATTTTCTAAAACGCCATTTTACAGAAATAGTGTTTACAGAATAACGTTAAAGTGGAAAAATATTGGTCATTTTGACCTTGCGCTCATAGTTTTGATCAGAATACATCACATCCGGTCGGGTGGTCGCATTGGGCAGTGGAAAGGCGGCTTAACATTTGATGCTCACTAAGGCTGCATTTATTTAATAAACAAATATAGTAAAAACTGTAATATTGTGAAATATTATTACAATTTAAAATGACTGTTTTCTATTTTAATATATTTTAAAATGTAAAATGTATTCCTCTGACAGCAAAGCTGAATTTTCAGCATCAATACTACAGTCTTCAGTGTCACATGATCCTTCAGAAATCATTTTATTATGCGGATTTGATGCTCAACAAACATTTCTTATGATTATGTTGACAACAGTTGTGCTGCCTAATATTTTTGTGGAAACTGAGATATCTATTTTTTTTTAAAGGACAGCACTTACTTGAAATATAAATATTTTGTAACATTATAAATGCAATTTACTTTTGTTCAACAAATATGCAATTCATACATGTTTGAGAAGTAAATGATAATTCCCCTTTAATTTCTGCTGCACACTACCTTATCAAGTCGTCTTTGCCAGCTCTCCTCTCGTTTGACCAAAATGTCAATGCAGTGGGACAGTGTGGACAGGATTCCTGCTGTAGTAGCTTTAAATGTGATGGCTTCACCCTTGAAATCGATGCCTAAGGGACCTTTGAGGTTGTCCACAGGGAATACTGAGGGAAATCAAGTAAAATGAGTGTCAAATAGCAGCAGTATTTAAACTTAGCTCTACTTTCTGAAGGAACTTCTGTTGCTTAATTAAATCTTATTACCCCCGGTTTCACAGACAAGGCTTAAGCCTAGTCCTAGACTAAAATGTAAGTCTGAGCTGTTTCAACTGAAAGAAACTTGCATTGGACTGATCTTAAAATATATCAGTGCCTTTGTTTCGTCTCAAGATGCACACCAGTAATGTTTTTTTCTAAGCACGTTTATGAAAATTGCTTAAATGTCTTAATTGAACTATGATCTAATCCTGGCTTAGTCTAAGCCCCGTCTGTGAAATCGGGCCTTAGTGTCTTATCAATTATCAAAGGATAAAAATCTTCAGTCACAGACAGATATAAGCCATTTACTTACAACCAAAATGGACATAATGGAAGATTTTCACCAGTATGGGAGTAAAAAGCACTTAGTTTTTACACACACCAAATTGATGCTACCACTAACTGCATGAAGTGCAGTTTGCAGTGTATTGCCTGCATTTATAATATTGCAAATAAACATGTATGATGATCTCATGGTATTTACTATGTATTCAGGAGATATATAGTGTAAAAAAAAAAAAAAAAACTTTGCTTGAGAGTCAAACAGCTTTCAGACAGGATCACAGGCGTTTAATCATTTAAACTACAGGTGTATTATGCACAGAGTATGTGCTTATGACAAAGCAAAAAAAAAACAAAAAACACTTAATCTCACATTTCTCTTTGCTGCTATTGTTGTTGTTGAGCAGATAATCTCCATCTGGTCGTAAGGTTGGAAAGTCTTCCTCATCCTCAGATACTGCAAAAACAAAACAAAACACAGCCTTTTTAGCAGAGATAAATCAAAATTCAAATGAAATCAAAAACCAAACCAAAATTCAAGCAATTTAATGTGCACCAATCCATTTAAAGAGATGAAAATACAGTAATCATTTATTCATCCTCATGCCATTCCAAAACCAGATCTTTGTTTATCTTTGTAACACAAATTATTTTTAACATTCTCTGCCTTTTGTCTGTTACCAAAACTTTCATGCATCAAAAAGTAAAAAAAAGCCATTGTAAAATAAATCCATATGAATTAAACCGTTTAATTGAAGTCTTCTGAAGAGACACGGTAGCTATATATGATGATCAGATTGAATTTAGGCTTTTATTCATATATAAACAGTGATCAACACACAACAGAGCACATTAAATCTGCTTAACAGGAGCTCAACTGTGCTTAGTGGCGCACAAGAACAAACCTCATTGGTACTTGTGAATCAAAATCCTTTTTCCTCACCTTTGTCCCTGTGGAGCTCATCTTTACTGTCAGCATCTGCGCAGTTGTCAAAATACTTCTGCAATGTGTCCACCTGTCTGCAAAGAATGTCCCGGAAAGTCTCCATTTCCGCTAGCTTTTCCCGCAGGCTGTATCCCTTCTGTTCAACAGTTTGCAAATGAACATTCAATTGTAATTAAAACAGAAATGACATCTCCAATGACAAGACATTTGGCTGCATGAAATGTAGCAGTGTTTGAGCTCTGGATCTGGAGGCAGAGGCTGAGTCTCACCTTGCAGGAGGATGCGGAGGTGGTGGAGAGGCCGCTGGCGGCAGAGGTGAGGGACAGTAGGGAGCCATGGCGGCGTAAACTGCTCTCAGACCCATAGCCTGACTCAGCCTGCACTCAAAATACAGCACAAAGAAAAAGAGCCAATTAGGTAACTTCACACCGGTTCAAAAATAACATTCAATTGGACCATTGGGCAGTGAGGTGTCATGGTTGAAGCTGAACTAAGCATTTCTGAAACTTGCAAAGAAATAAAGCGGCTGGTACTAGGACAAGAAAATGCATATTACAATGATTTCTGAAATATCATGTGCCACTGAAGACTGGAGTAATGGCTGCTGCAATTTCAGGTTTGCTACCACAGGAATAAATTACATTTGAAAATATATTAAAATAGAAAATTTAACATTTTAAACTGTAATAATATTTCACAGTTACACTGTTTTACTGTATGTTTGATCAAATCAAACTTTTGAACAGTAGCATAAAAGGCCATGTTAAGTGCATTCAGTACTCACATGTAACTCTTTTATTTGGTCAGAAGACACTGTACCTGACTGAACGAGCCTTTGTTTCAGTCCTTCCATGAGTGCACTGTGAAACTGCTGACACCTGGCTTGTGGAAGATTTCATTTTATAAATTAATAGCTAGTGACAGATTGGGCAGGATGTTAAACGCAACTCCAATGGAACATCCATAAAAACTGCAACAACACCATATTTCAGGAAAAGCTTGAAAAACCTGCTTCAGTCCTGCTTAATCCCAATCAATGAATGATGGAAACAATTACTGTAATTAAAACCGCCAAACAAAGATGTCAGTGGTGATGAAAACATGATGAATGGTTGCGTAAGAGAGTGCTGGATGGTGAACAAGTAAATGACGTGAATTAAAATGCTAATGTGCTAAAGCCCACCATTCGCCCATTCCAGCAGCCAAAGCAGGACAAGGCACTGCTGCAGTCCTGAGTGCTCGCCCCCAGCATGACCACTGCTCTTTCCAGACACTCCCAAAAGTGCTCTCTCTTCGGACGGTCCAAGAATTCCCAGGACTTTCTCCAAACACCTCAAGAATACCTAGTGCTTTCTCCGGACCCTCCAAGAATTCCCAGGTCTCTCAATGGATTCTCCAAGAATTCCCAGTTCTCTTGCTGGACACTCCCAGAATTCCCAGTGCTCTAACTGTAGACTATTTCACAAGCACATGGTGGAGCAGGAACGAAGCAGAAGACGAGTTTGTTTCCGTTCTTAGCTTTAAAAATAAAGCCATTAGTGTTCGCAATGTGAAGAAATTATGTGAGGTGGGTTTCTGAGCCAGTATGAAGCCAGATAGATTGTGGGTGGGTCTGCAAAGCATGTGGAGGAGAGAAAGAGAGAGCGACAGAGAGAGAGTGATGGCAAACCATACAGACACTGAAACTCCCAGAGCTGCCGCACACACTACACTCACCTAACTGCAATAAGATCAACATAAATCATCCAGATTCCTCTGCCGCCACTTCAGCTGCATCTAATCCAGCAGAGTGTGAGTGAAAGTGAGAGCGTGTGTTTAAGGAGTCTATAAGCGTGTTAAATCAGATGCTGCTGGGCGTGTGCTCTCGTCTCAGTCTCGTGCTGTACTCCTCAGCTCAGCGCTCATCTTAAATTGGACCAATGAATTCTTTAACCGCACCATCACCCAAAACTACGGAGTTCCTGATCCCTTTATTTTGGTTCAGAAGTCTTCTTGCAGTGCAGGGCTTTCAAAGCAGCCTCTTTAGTTGACTGAATATACTCATGCATTATTCATGCAGCTGGACGACTGTGAGCGGAAAATGCCCATCCACCCCAGCCTGCACACCCACGCGTGCGTACACATAAGAGATCACCTCAACAGACGAAGAGTCGCGATAAACAATGCTGACCTGAGCACCAACAGCCTCTCGACTGCGCTCTTCTGTTGAAGGGATTGGTGATTCAGATAACATTTTTAGATTTGAAGCCGTACAGAGCAGAAACAAGAGGCAGGTCGAAACAATGGGTCAGTTTGTGTTTATATAAGAGAATGTTGGGAGATGGGCATAGATACTGATATAGATATTATATATTTATGTGGTACTACTAACTACAGTATAAGCATATATAATTATGTGAGTTACATTGTCATTGACAAAACCTTTGACAATCATTTGCTGTAGAACTCATCGTAACATGAGCTTTTTGAGTACATGTACAATTACATTTGATAGAGAATTTTTGTTTACATTTTTTTTTTAATCATTTCGGTTTCAGGAAGAAGTGTGAACCAGAAAACGAGTGAACAGGAACTAAGACAGTCAAGATCTAAAAATAAAGTAAATGAATGCACCATTAAAAGTGGCCCATACAAGTTATCCATTATATTACAAGTTGTATAAAACCATATGGATAGACTACAATAAAACTGAAGCTGTTATTTCCTGAAAATGTTCCCCAGCACAATGTGCCCAAGTCTGAAAATGTGAACATTTCAGTTTTGTCCTCCAGAAGAATTTGAATATAATACACAAATCATATGGACCATTTTTTGATAACTTTATGGTGTTTTTCTGTCATTTTTTTTGGAGCTTGGCAGCCTAAGTCTCCAAAACTTTTTTTTATTCTATGGAAAAGCACAGCACGGACATTTGCCAAACATTTGTGTGTAACCAAAGAAAGAAAAACATACGCTTGCAACAAGAGTTTGAGTACAGGTGCATCTCAATAAATTAGAATGTCGTGGAAAATGGTAGGTTTTTGTTAAATGTGAGTCAAAATCATCACAATTAAAAGAACCAAAGACTTAAACTACTTCAGTCTGTGTGCATTGAATTTATTTAATACACGAGTTTCACAATTTGAGTTGAATTACTGAAATAAATGAACTTTTCCATGACATTCTAATTTATTGAGATGCACCTCTATATGAGGACTCCTTTCATTATCATTTTTGGGTGAATGATTCTATCATTTAAAGAGACCAGAAAGGCTCCCCTCTGGAGTCTAAAACAGCTTTTTAAGTCACATGACAAAACTGCTATAGCACTTTTAACCAGCAGATGGTAGAAGTGGCCATGAGTGTAAAACTACCAGGGAACATTTGGATTATTTCTTATTTTTTGGATTATTTGAAGTATTTCTGCTGTGTTTGTCTACTTAGATCACAATGTTCCTAAAAGGACACAAACACATTATTTCACATTAATGAACTGACTGAAGGACTTGGTAATTTAGCAACCAAACTCACTGTTGATTTCTCATAAATCCACAGAACTTCAGTTTATGCCTTTATGACCTTCAAAACAAGCAAAGAGCTTAACATTGTCTCTCTCAGTCCAATGCAGGACAACAGACTCCTCTCAACACACAAAAATCAAACATAAAACATTATGATACTTCAAGAAATATATCCGAAATAGCTGCTTTAACAGAAACTCTCCTTCTCCCTGTTAGAAAAACACAACTATACACACAAACACCCTTTCCTGGATCCAAACACCAGCTGTGTAGAAACAGCTCCACTCCTTTTATTGAGTTCAGCTCTACTCGCACATGTGAGAGTCATTCAGATCAGCACAGTCCTCAGGACCCTCCCTTTGCATATCTCTCTCAAGACATGATACGTCACTGCTAACCACTGCCAGACATCACTTGCACAATAAATCTCTCACTTCTCCTCATGCAAACGAATCTTAGCCAACATGTCACACAGAGAGCAGAGCTGAAGTTTTCCAGGACATCCGCACTTCCCTGCTAAACATGTAAAAAGTAGTATGTCAAATGAGTTATGACACAGTAAGCAAACCGGTATTAAGAAACGGTTTAACAAGAAAATAATTTTTGCAGTTTCTGTTAGTATGTCAGAGGTCAAAGGACAAAGCCAACATGGCAGGTTCAGTATGCACAGGAATAAATTATACCAGGGTCAATGACATACAATCGTGTGATATGATATAAAAAATAAAATAAAAAAAAAGATAAAATAGTTTATTTAAACTAGTTCTTAGAAGTGTATTCCTGTAGGGTTTTTTGGTTTTGAAAAACAAATGAATAAAATAATGACTCTTAAAAATGTCACAGAGTAAATATCAAGTAGAATTTCATAAATGATTTACTTTTTATCTGGAATACAATTAAGTGTTCACATTTTGATCATCGTTACCAAAATATTTTTATGTGTTTTTAAGGTAAATAGTACTTTAAAAAATGTCTATCATTGATTATTAATTTTGAAACCGTACATTAAATTTTTACCACTCAAAAAATAAATAAAAAAATAATAATTTTAATTTATTAGTTAAAACATGCTCCAAGTCAAGGTGTATCCAAGTCACTGTATATATGAACTGTATTTCTAATGGTTTTTTAAATAAATTAAAACCCCTACACACCTGCATATCTAAAGAACATACTTCATCAACAACGGAGACAAATTCTTTATCAAATTCAGTACATGCTACGAAAAGTACACACATTTTTAGCACACTGTACTCAAATGACAGCACAAGGAAATGATAGCCAGAAAAAAAAAAGCACGTGGGACACATTCCATTGAACCGTGCCTCCAACACGTTTTGTAAAAAAAGGAAACCTTCCTTCCCTCAACAAAAGAAATAAAACACCCAATCAGGTTCTGCCACCCAAACTTGATCACTCACTATCAGAAAGATACTGGAGCTGAGCTGCAGTTTATCTAGAGGCTTTGCTGCTTCTGACGCACTCACCTTGTGAAGTTCAATGGTATCGATCCACTGCTGCCGGAGCAAAGGATGTTCAGCCCTCAGGTACCATATGCTGTCGTTCACACTGATGTCAAACCGGCACTCATCAAACTCATGAGGCTGAAAAGAAAGAGAACATCAAAAACAAGAACATATCATAACAACGAACATGCTGGAAAATGGAAAATGTTTATGGGCCATGTTTATTCAAATCTGTCTGCCATTATGTTTTTGAAGCACCTTTTCCTGCTGTTCCTGATAAACAACTCCTTGCCACCACAACATAGATTTGCACCACTGAATAGGTCACTGAAAATCTCACACTTTTACAGATGGCAGATAACAGTAAAACAAAAACTGCAGACCACCTCATACACAAACTAGGGGAAACCACCAGCTATCTCAAAACCAGCTATTGTAAGCAGTGCACAAATGATCCACAGTTTGGAACTTACATCTTCACCAAAGCACAATTTTGCCAGATTGCCATTTTGTTCGTAATTAGCTACTACAGTATATGGCGATTTTTTTTTTAATCTAATGAATCTAAATGAGCCAACTGGTCAATTGCTAAGAAGCTGCACTGAACACTTACATACAATGACATATGACTATCAGTTCTATTACTGAAGACAACCGAAACCTTTATTAATTTAATTTAAATAATAATTAGTTCATTAAATTATTATAATAAATGTTTTTCTTCCCTAATTTAGGATTAGGTTACAACATCTAAAATAAGAGAAACAAATAATCAATTACCGTATATATTCTAATAAATGCAAACTTTATAATATTTTGAGGTGCTAAACCTATCCCTAACCCAAATAATGTAGAAGTTGTACAATTTCACATAAAATAATTTGGGAAAATTGTTGGAAAACCGCTGTTTAACAGTCATCTTTAATTAAAAGAAATGAGAGCGATATATATATATAGATATATATATAAAACCCTTATTGAAGGGTGTACTGGAAATTTAACTTAAACGTTTTAAGAAATAAGCTGCCTAAACTCTAATAAAAAGAAACAGGTTAAAAAAAATAAATAGTTGCATCAAGCCGAAAAGATTAAATAGTGTTGCGTTGTGCTCACAATATCTGGTGTAGTATTTTTTTTCCCATGCATTGCACAGTAGACTGTAAACATACTTTGTATAAGTGTTTTCTGCAGGTTAGGGATGTGCCGGTATCAAATTCTCATGTTGCGATTAATTGCTAATGCTTTTATCACGGTATGTGGTATTATCATGATATTGAAATTTAGTTTAACAAAAGTGCTGTTATAATACAGTACAACAGGTTTAATAACTTTTTTCTTATAACAAAAATAACTGAACATTTAAATGCAATAAAGCAATACAGAAAAATGTATAAAGTTACAAGTTTTACAAAGATTCAAGTGCAAAAGAACTATAAAGACCAATAGGTATCATTTTACAATAAGACCTCATTAGTTAACCTTAGTTAATGCATTAACATTCACAATGAGCAATAGCTACATTTGCTGCAGAAGTTATTAATCTTTGTTTAAAATATACAAGCCTTAGTTCATGTTAGCTCATTAAACAACACAGTTGCAACTCTCGATTTTAACAACCTGTTATTAAATATTGGAATACCTAAGATTAATGAATGTTCAGAAGAATTTTTCATTGGCAGTTTATGTTAACTAATGAATTAACTAATGTTAACTAATGAAGCCCTAATGTAAAGTGTGACCGAACAATAAAGAATCAAAACACTTTCAAACAAGATCTAGGGCATGTTGTAGTCCAGATTAAAATGTAAAAAAAAGTTTGAAAATAAATAGTTTATTAAGTCTAAATATTTAAGTATTTGGTATGATACACAAATCTGAATGGCTGTTTAAATAATTTAAACACGATTCAGAAACAGAAAGTTGTGCAGCTGCTTTGTTTACAGGGTTTCCGGGGTAACGGCTGCATTTAAATGAATTATTATTATTATTATTTCTGCAGTTTAGCGCCATCTGCTGTCAGAGAGTGAAAGTGCGCTTTCATCCAGAGAGTCTCACATGTTCCACCATGTGCTTCTCGTCCACGCTTGTTTATGTCAGAGTGCTTGTTTATGTCAGAGTGCGCACGCATCTTTCACGCAGCATACAGCGTGTTGTGCATTTTGACCAGTTGATGGGAAAAGTATTCTTAAAATGCATTCAAAATTCTGAATAATTTGTAATGTATAATTATTCACGGTATTTAGAAGTGCCCACGATAACAATATCGTGCACATTCATTACTGTGATATATCGCATTACCGAATACCGGCACAAGTCTACTGCAGGTGTAGTGTTTGGTACTAGGTATAACTAGTAATGGGAGTGGTTTGTTGTCTTTTGGATACAGACAGATGGATTTTTAGTGCTCTGTAGAATAGCTGTTATCAGAGACAGAGCACTGATCCAGGCCAGAACTGGGCTGCTGAATTCAATCAGTGTTAGAGGAACATCTGTTATTATCAGATCATCTGTTTTCTCCTCCTCCAAACACTGAAATCAACAGAATACAGATATTCCAGATCTGATCGGCTTCAAAGTCTTCCAGCGTTTCGAAGCCTGGTTTCACAGGCATTATTCTTCCACTCCTATTTGACCATGTGTGCAGTCAGTGTTTGTAGAGATTTATTCAGACAGAAGATCAAAACTGGATTCTAAAACAATCTTTTAGATCCTGATCTACATATAACTGTCTGTGATCTTTAACAGCAGCCCCTTTAGACCAAGGTGACTTTTTCCAGAGCAAAGAACATCACCTAGAAAACACTACAAAGCTCTCAAGGCCAAGAGCAACGAATGAAACTAGGGGCAGTACTTTTCAAACAGGTTCTTTCTTTACACATACCCAGTTTTATTGGAACAGGCAAAGCAAGGACTGCTCCCAGATCACCTTTTTCGCAATGAGATATTTGATATGTGCCGTCACAGGACGTTCCTGCGGTTCTTCTAATCCTCAAGACTACTTCAAATCACTCAGTACCAGAACAATGTAGTAATAGTGTGTCAGACAAAATGTGCTACAATGCAGCTTTGTCGGACGTTTCCTTGTAGTCATACTGCCAAAACTTCTGCACTTGAAACAGCCTGCAATACATGCAGAACCCCAGCTCACAGACATAGACCAATATACGTAAATTATAATTTGATGACTTTTTTATTTATTTATTTATTTTTTTTTTACACAAGACTGGGATAAAGTTTTTCTTGACTTTGTGGGAATACATACAATAAATTGCTATAAGAGAAAATATGATCTTTCTGGAAAAAACAAACAAACAAACAAATAAACAAACATTAAAGAATCAACTGGCCCAGTAACAAAGAAAAGTGGAAATTTATCACTTTGTACAAAAAGTAACCTCTGAAAAGTCAAGTCATGTGCATTTCTAAAGCACTTAATACAATGCAGATCAGAGCTGGGCGGTATACCGGTTCAAACGGTAGCCTAAACTGGTTTGAATTGCACAAACGGTATGAATTTTTCAAAAACCGGCATACCGGTAGTTACAAGTGCCTCAGCAACATACACAGCGTCGTTAATTGAGAGGAGATCCCTGTTAACTGCATACACTTCTGAATAATGATTGGAAAACTTTTAGAACTACAGTGGGTACGGAAAGTATTCAGACCCCCTTCAATTTTTCACTCTTTGTTATATTGCAGCCATTTGCTAAAATCATTTAAGTTAATTTTTTTTCCTCATTAATGTACACACAGCACCCCATATTGACAGAAAAACACAGAATCGTTGACATTTTTGCAGATTTATTAAAAAAGAAAAACTGAAATATCACATGGTCCTAAGTATTCAGACCCTTTGCTCAGTATTTAGTAGAAGCACCCTTTTGATCTAATACAGCCATGAGTCTTTTTGGGAAAGATGCAACAAGTTTTTCACACCTGGATTTGGGGATCCTCTGCCATTCCTCCTTGCAGATCCTCTCCAGTTCTGTCAGGTTGGATGGTAAACGTTGGTGGACAGCCATTTTTAGGCCTCTCCAGAGATGCTCAATTGGGTTTAAGTCAGGGCTCTGGCTGGGCCATTCAAGAACAGTCACAGAGTTGTTGTAAAGCCACTCCTTCGTTATTTTAGCTGTGTGCTTAGGGTCATTGTCCTGTTGGAAGGTAAACCTTCCACCCAGTCTGAGGTTCTGAATGCTCTAGACTGGGTTTTCATTAAGGCTATCTCTGTATTTTGCTGCACTGAGCGTTTCTTCTACTCTAACGAGTCCCTCAGTCCCTGCTGCTGAAAAATAGCCCCACAGCATGAGGCTGCTACCAGCACACTTTACTTTTGGGATGGTACTCTGCAGGTGATGAGCGGAGCTGGTTTCCTTCAAATATGAAGCTTGGAATTGAGGTTCATCGGACCAGAGAATCTTGTTTCTCAGAGTCTGAGGGTCCTTTAGGTGCTTTTTTGGAAATTCCAAGTGTGTTTTCATGCGTCTTAACTGAAGAGAGGATTGAGTCTGGCCACTCCGACATAAAGACTGGATTGGTGGAGTGTTGCAGCGATGTTTGTCCTTCTCTAGGTTTCTCCTATCTCCACATATAATCATGGAGATCAACTAGTGTGACCATCAGGTTCTTGGTCACCACTATAACCAAAGACCTTCTCCATCAATTGCTCAGTTTGGCCAGGAGGCCAGCTCTAGGAAGAGTCCTGGTCGTCCCAAACGTCTTCCATTTAAGGATTATGGACGCCACTGTGCTCTTAGGAACCTTAAGTGCA